ACACTGTCACCAACCAACACAAACAACACATTCTGCTAAAGGCCCTTAAAGGTACTTACACAAACAATACATTCTGCTAAAGGCCCTTTGCAGGTCCTCAGCTGAAACAAGCACAGCTCCTTTTTGCATTCTCTTTAAGAGAGCTGCAAGAACTGGAGGTGTTTACCAATTTGGTACTTTCTGCATACTGTATTGGGGACTTGGTATGCTTGAAGACCAGCCAGGCAAGCTGAGGCTAATCGAGTTGCGTTGCCTACAAGGTGCTCTCCAGGATATGCCCAAACAACCCTTGGGTTGAGAAATTTGCTGTCCTCTGCTATATGGAAAAGGAAATGCATCTTTGGCAATTGCCCCCACTGAAACTGTCCAATCCTGCAGTTCTGCAACCTGAAGCTCCAATCACTCAGCTTGGTGTAGTACTGGAGAAACCTGTTTGCAGATCTGGTGTAGTCAGCAAACTCCTGTTCAGAAAAGAACATGCCCGCATCTTCAGAAATTGTGTAGAGTTTGTTCAAGTGGTGCAGGCACTTGTACCTCCACACACAATATTCTGTCCCATCATTCCAATCAGCACACAGTTTTAAGCAAACCGCAGTGAGGCGAGCTGTTTGCTTGGCCTTAATGGCTGAATGCATCAAGCTGGGATAGTGCTGATGTGGGGCATCAACATCACAAAAATGAGACAATGCCAGCTTAGATATCCTGCCATCTTCAACCTCCAGGTCTTCATAGGCAGCATGGATCAAGTCCAAAAGCTTCACCACCTTCTCAGGCTTCTTGCCTGGTAAGTGCTTGAAAACCATGTCATAAAACACATTGGCCACACATGCTGAAGAGAAACCTAAGTCAGCACAATGCATGAAGTCATATGCAAAAGTAAAGTGGCTTACTCCACTTATGGAGAGAAGCCAATGAGAGGTCAAAGGAGATTCCTGGAGTTCCTCCTTGCTGTATGGCTTGTCCCTCCAAGCTGCATTTGGGCTGACATCATTCCAAGGCACATCAGATCTGTTGCATTTGCAGCGCATACAGGGCTCATTGGAATTGTAATTTGGAAGGCCATACTCTAGAGAATTATGCTCGCAGTCTGCTGGGGCAGCCCACACAACACATCTCAATTTGTTCCTGCAAATAGGCTTCCCTGCAAGTTCCAGCCTCTGACCTTCCAAGCCATTTCCCCAAGGGTCGCAGCTTGGATGCTTGCCTTCAAACCAAGCCTGGAAAGACCAGGAAAACACCTTGCCCAGTGTAACCATGGTGGGCTCCACATGGGTCAAGTTGAGGTCTTTGCATTTTTTTCTCTGTGACAAGGCAGCTATTGGGAACTGCTGTCAATAAGAAACTGCTCTCTTCAATGCCAAGTTTCCTTGCCTGTGCAATAAGGCTGTAGAAGGTGATTGTATGTAATGAATCCTGCTTTGAGTGAGGGCCTTTGTCAGCATGAACAGCAAATGGCATGAAGAAATCTCTGTGCTGGAAAAAAATTGGATCCATCCCAAAAAGCTTGGGATCATCAGGGAGCACCTCTTGCCAGAAACCAGCAGCATCTTTCAAAGAACCAACTGTTTGATCAAGCAGGCCATGCCTGGACAAACAGCTCCCCCAGTCATGTGGCAAAAAGACTGCAATCTCTTCTTGAGACAACACTGGCCTAGTGCCTGGGTTCAGTATCACCCATGCTGTGACATGGAAAGGTTCTGGTGATTGCAGGTTTTGTAATGCAGGTAGGCGAAGCAAATCTCTTTGGCTATTACTTGGCTGATGGCCATGGCTGCCACAACCTGCCAATGCTTGAACATCTGCTGGAACACTGGAGAAAGTGTTTGTGACTGCTCTGGCCAGGTCACACACTTCTAATGCTGAGCTTCCACCCCAGGCCCAGTGTTCAATCAACTTGAACACAATTGGAGACAGGCCATCGATGCTAGCTATGGCATGGCATTCTTCTAACTGTGCAGCTGCAGCTGCCTCTGCTTTTCTTCTTTGATGTCTACCACCTCTTACAGCACTAGTTCCCTGTCTCTTGGGCATGACCTGCAGTTGGTTCTATGTTTCTTCAAGAACATCTTCCATTGAAAGTTGCACCACAGTTAAGCACCTTAAGGCCAGGGCCCTTGGCAGGTCCCTCCAAAAGTTTGAACCTGAAAAATGCAGGGCCCTTTGCAGGTCCCT